GTAAAATACAACTAACTAACAATTTAAAAGAGTGTGTTATTTAAGGCGAACAGTGGCTTATCCCCGTTAATCTTTGCATTGTTTTTTGCCTTATACCCTGCCCCCCAAGTGCTGAACAAATTGACATATTATATACCACAGAGGGATTGTGCCTGACACAGTTATAGGTGCCTTATTTCTTGGCTCTGGCATAACACAAACTGTCTTAATGGTTAATATTTAAGTTGTGATAGAGAATACCATATTAACTGTAGTATCATGATGACAAGTAAAAGTACACTGGCTTTGTCACTATAGTTTTTTTTATTCAAATGAATTAGTGCATGATTTTCCAATATAAAGAAATTAATAACAAGCTTCAGTAACTGTATGAATCTAAACTGACTACATTGAGTTTATCAAGAAATTATTCTATATTCCTGTCACATAGCCTATTCTATATTCCTATCACATAGCCTATTCTATATTCATGTAACATAGCCTATTCTATATTTCTGTCACATAGTCTATTCTATATTCCTGTCACATAGCCTATTCTATATTTCTGTCACATGGCCTATTCTATATTCCTGTCACATAGCCTATTCTATATTCCTGTAATATAGCCTATTCTATATTCCTGTCACATAGCCTATTCTATATTCATGTAATATATTTCTGTCACATAGCCTATTCTATATTCATGTAACATATATTCCTGTCACATTCTATATTTCTGTCACATGGCCTATTCTGTATTCTGCTAACATTGCCTATTCAATATTTCTGTAACACAGCCAACACTTTTCAAAATTATACTTCTGCCCAAGGCTATGGTGATTCGAATACTTCATCTGTTTCTGATAAACAGTAAAAATTTTATCACTCTTGGTCAACATTTACATCAAAAGACAGCATGATTATGGTATATAAACCACATAATTTACCTTGATTAGCAAGATATTTTTTTCCAAAGAATATGACAACTTTTAGCATTATCCCAATTTTCAAGTGTTTTCTACAAATAAAAACTATATAAATTTTTAAATACTGTACTTATTGTGCTTTATAGCTAAATTCTTTGAAATTCTAATTTTATGACATAAATTACCAGTTAGTCAAAGACTGGAAAGTAAGACTTAAAGGAGCTAAATCGCTAAAATATTTGGGCACTTAGAAATTGACAAAAATGGGTCGCAACGCATATAATAATGTAATATGAATGTATATAAACTGATTTACATTCAATCGTTTCTGTTTTTACTGTAATTTCTAATCAGTTATGTTCGGCGAAATACACCAGAAGTCTCATGTGAATTGCAATCTTTAGGGTCTGGTTTTTCCAGTCTACACCGATGGTATTTATTGCGCATGCTCTCCAGATAAGAATATAGCGTCACCATATGACATGACTTGTCTAGCCCCGTTCTTTGAGTCCCTTGTTCCAAATGGTGCTAAAACGCATTATGGTACACGATTCGTGTATCAATGGTAAAATGTTTATTTTGTCTTGAATATTGGATATCAGAAGCCCATCTTTTCCTTGTAAGATCACATGACCAATGTTGATTTGAATTGACAAATAATTCGTGTTTTCAATGTCGAAGATTTTTGATGATATTGAGTTAGAGACTTAGCTACTTTAATCTAGTGCTTTTACCACAAGGCTGGGATGTTCTCAAGAGGCGTTAGTAGCTTAAGCAAAATGTATATAACTCATGAGACTAAAATTACTGTGCATACAAATTTTATACACATTTCACATTATAAACTTTCTATTTGAATAATGGCCTATTATGTATGAGCGTTAAAACTGTACATGTGAGGACTCTTCTGCCCCTGGCCATATACAGATAATGAAGACAATCAATGGCCAGTAAATTATCACGGCTTACTCTATACCTATATGACAGCCAATCATATATCAAACTTATCTACAATATATTTGGCAAAAAGCCCTGATTATGTTTGTTAAAGAAGTTTATATAATAGTTAATCACTATTTAGTATTAGACCTTCATTATAATCATTGTCATTATAAAACTACCATATATGTCTTTCTTTTGTATGCTCTTATCTAAATTGAGGTTTACTGTAATGTCTTCCCACCATGTATGGGTGGGTTAATCATTAAGAGAGGACATTAAGAAAGAAATAGATACTGCACGAGGGCAATAGTCTGAGTGTTGCATCAATATACACAATGTTTGAGACCATCAAACAACTTAAAACACAGACACTATCCTGGATGTGCATTTCTATGAAATTGTCACGCACATTCAATATTTTATGAAGTATAAATAAAGTATGATTGGCCCTTTGTCGTACATTATTGGAAATAATGGTACAAAGGGACGTATATAACTGTTTTCTGATAAAATATTGGAAATAATTAACACAATATATTAAACATGGATTTGAAATGAGATGAATTCGGGTCTAATATCCTACTTTTTTTGCTATGAGGTTAAAAATTACCCTGACAGAGTCACTACAGCCTACTCTTATATTTCGAATTTCAAGTTTCTTGATCTTTGCCTGGTCCTCAGATCGGCGCCACTGAATTAACCAAGCCAGAACATCATGGATAACTTTTTCAGACAACATCAGGATCAAACACTTGACCTTACTCAATGAGCCACCACAGCTACCTAAACATGGATTTAGCCAATCAAGGAATTGAATTACTTTCCAATTGTAATAATCTAAATAAATTTTAAAATGAAGAATGATGATAATATACCTGACCTATTGTCAGTTGACTTTTACACTTTCACCCTTTGTTGACCTCTAATAAAATAATTTATGGCCTCAATTAAATAAACATTTCATAATTATTACTTACTTAACTATACTTTAGGACTTAGGAACTAATTTATTTGAATCTTTCACAAAGATAGAGCGTACTTGACACAAACCAGGTCATTTCAGTACTAACAAATGATTCAATAATTGACTTGGACTTAGGGATATTTAGGATGGGGTGGAAACCAGAAGATCGAGAAAACCTATGAGGTTGAACAGGTGACCAGTGAATTCTGTAGGCTACTGATTCACTTCAAAGACAGAATAAAATTTTTTAAACTGTTTAAATGTTATTTAATTGCATCCATATAGGTCATGCACATCGAAACTAAACAAGGCAGAAACAGTCGGAAAATAATAACAAATATAATCTCAAGGGTAGTGATCATAATGGGTGGGTATTCTATTACAATCTATTGTAATCTAGAAACAGGTACATTGTACTCCTTTGGTGCACAGATATTTTCCTCTCTTGATCAGGTTACACTCTCCAAAAATAGGTTAAGATAAAAAAAATACCTTTGTTTATTCTAAGGATTTTGTTGATGAAAACATGAAATGGGGTATATTGTCCAACTTTTCTGTACTAACTGAGCTAATGAAGATGTGCATATGCCATATAGTGTGCAGCGGCACTATGGTCAACTCTTATATCGGATTTTGTTGATGAAAACATGAAATGGGGTATATTGTCCAACTTTTCTGTACTAACTGAGCTAATGAAGATGTGCATACACCATATAGTGTGCTATGAGGGGAACTTTGCCCTCACAGCGGCACTACGTCCTATCTGGTTTCGAATTCCAACTGTCCAGAGTCATTTTACATGCATGCCAAAGTGCGCACAGGAATTTGATTTTTCGTGTACACAGAAATTTGATTTTTCGTGCCATCTGTCTGACCACTAATTTATTTTGCCCTACACGTCATTCATGTACACAGGAATTTGATTTTTGGTACCATCCGAATAACTAGACACTGTCCTTGTCTGACCACTAATTTATTTTGCCCTACACGTCATTGGTTTCTGTACTTGTTTTAAATCATTGAGAGAATATTCATCCAAAGTTTGTCAAAATTAATTAGTAATTGTTCTTCCATGAATATGTGTTACAGTTTATTGCTCTATCCAGTTACTAAAGGCATACAAGTGTATAGTTATTGGTTTGCTGTAGTAACACCATTGCAATGAGTAGTACACATGTCATTAAGAAGAACAACTATTTCTAAATGTGACAGGCTACGATTTTGATTGCCACTTTCCCTCAAAAATAAACTCAAGATTATCCACCAGCCTATGTTAAAAATAAAAGCAAAAAATAACAAAAAAGAATAGTTATTAAAAATCTATGATCAATGAGAAGGTATGTTTTCCATTGAATTTTTCATAGTCTTTAGTGTATCAAAAAAACTTCAATGTTTCACTGAGTCAAGCAAACCAAATGTGCACATAAATTATGATCTATAAATTACCAGCTGGGTGGAGTGATGCGAACAAAAATTCTTAAATTAATTTCTAATGATTGGCTCACACCTTGATAGGTTTTTATTAGTCTTACTTAAAATCACCAAAACCTGAAATTCTTTTTCTTTTTTTTTTTTTTTTTAAAAATCCAATCAGCCGACAGTCAATAATTGTTTGGAAAGTGCAGTATTTTTTTTTTTTTAAAAATCCAATCAGCCGACAGTCAATAATTGTTTGGAAAGTGCAGAATTACTAGGACTCCTAAACGAGGACACATAAATGAAGAATAGTGATTATAGCAAGTTTTATATGGACATTAGCATAACAAAATATGAAGCCTATTATACAAAAACCAACAAATATATTGACGAGGACAACAATATTGTAAACATCATAGAAATATATTTCTGCGGTAAACAGTGTTAATCCCGAAAGTTGTTCCTGTTATGTACGTGCAGATAGAAGAAATTGCTAAAACTCAGGTCAGGTGAGACAAATAAATTTCAACCTGTACAATACACAACAAGACCTGCCACACAGTGACAGTAATAGTTAGCTAGGTTGCTGTTTATTAACGTCCAATACATTATAATATTATATAGACAGGGGGATTTAATTAAAATTATTTACATGTGAAAGAGGCATATAATAAAGATAAAAACATTCTTTAATATAAAAATGTCACTTTAAAGTTAGTAGGTAGCATGGCATACCGCACGTCATCGATTATAACTCGATAATTCATTCTTACCTGAACAACTATCTTATTTTCCCAGCAGTTAAATTTTATCAGCCGTGGAGATTATATGTCACCAAGCACAAATAGAAGTCAAAACAAACGTACATCCACAGAACCAGATTCTCACAGTCCTGTCATCAATAAAAGAATGTCTGTCGTTCGTTGATTTTATTGTGACCTGTCAGGACCCTTACTTCCAACTAAAACTTGCCGCACGATAGATTGTGAAAAAAATTGGACTGTATCGACCTGAATGTCATGTAGATCAAGCCTGAACAAAGCGTAATACTTTATCTACCAGACGGAATGTTATACTTATTGCCGACAAACAGATTCATCGTCGTTCGCTCAAGTTAACACAATATACGCTGGATTTATGTAAGGATTATCATGTAACTGGACGCGCGAAGTTTTAGCCCAGCCTGCAGATTAAAAACAACCCGCCTACTACCATGTGATGTATTTCAGCCAATGCCTTCCATCGACAGTAAATGTAATTGACAGTTGAAGTTATAATCGAACCAGTTACAGTCGATCAATATACTACCATATTTTTTTGCCATTTTTATTTGTAAATCGAAGTGTAAAAACACACGTGTTTGTTAAAATACACAAGATCTTGAAACAGTTAGTCTAAACAGTGTATCAGTTCTAGACTCTAACATATTTCTTCTGGGAATGTCATCTCCATCACAGTAGGCTACATGGGGACGGGAACGCCCTTTTGGCGTCCTTTGTGATTTTTCAACTAAAAACATTTTTCCTTTCTATTTGGTGCATGTCATATTTACTATCAAACCATGTTCGTGAGAGATTTTTTCAAATTTGTTGTAAAGCATTGTGGTCATGAGAGGACGAATCCTATTGATATACCATGCAATGTATTGGGTGTCACCACTGATCTCTATAAATAACATATAGAGATCAGTGGGTGGCACCAGAAAATAGAATAGAAGCGAACGTTTGGTAAAACAGAATTGACATAAAAGAGGGAGTATAGTGCTTTTCGGGGACAGATTTCAGACTATGTCGAGGGCTTTCAGGAATAATCTATGGTGGCACATGAAAGAGAGATAAGCACCCCTCCATTCCATGTCATGTATTAAATGGCTGAAGAAAATGAATTAGCAGCGGACGTTTAGTAAAACAGCAGTGACAAAAACGACGGAGTGGGGTGGGGGCGGGGGAGTTCTTAACGGGGGCGGATTTCAGGCTATGTCGAGGGCTTTCAGAAATAATCTATGGTGCCACATGAAAAATGGATAAACACTCTTTCATTCCATGCCATGGGTATTGGCTGGCCCGAGGACATTAAAAAAAAGCTGGGTTGTGTTTTGGGGGACGGATTTCAAACAATCTGATTAAATACAGATCCATATTTCGTTTCGTTTTTTTATACTTTCGATGGCCTACACCAAATGTAGTAAAGACAAGTAAAACGAAATTTTGAACTATAAAAACGAAACGAAATAGGATCTGTGTTTTAACCAGATTGGATTTCAAACTATGTCGAGGACATTCAGGAATAATCTATGTCGTCACTTTATTAAGAAAGATAAACTCCCTTCCATTCAATGTCGGGTAGCTCAGGAAAAATAAAATAGCAACGGATGGAAAAGACAGAGCTATGTAATTGTCAGACATTTGTAGTATCTGTCCGGGGTAACCCACCACTAGAAATGTCTGTTAGAGTGTTTTTGTAACACCTGAAGATGTACGGTACACTGCAGTAAGATTTTCATGTGGTACACTTTTGAGCTAATCTAGTCTAGTTGGGGTACATGGCATTTTGGGCGTGGAATACCACACCCACCACCGGAAACCCGACAGACTTACATTCTGATGATACCAGATATACATGCATTGATAACATATATGAGAAAATTGGTACACTTTTCAGCTAGGTTGGCCCCCTGGGAGGTTGGCCCCCTGGGCTCCTGGTCTATATGCCCGTCTTCATTAGCCCAATCGGAGCAGAAAAGTAGGACGTTAAACCCCATTTGATTTCATTTCCAAGTTAAATAACTACTTGTAATTGTTAATCTAAGAACCTTTTTTAAACTAAGATTTGACGCGTGTGTGTGAGATAGCTTTATCTAAAGTAGCTAAGTCTCTAACTCAATATCATCCAAAATTGAAAACACGAATTATTTGTCAATTTAAATCAACATTGATGTTGTGATCTTATGGGGAAAAGATGGGCTTCTGATATCCAATAATTAAGACAAAATAAACATTTTACCGTGTACCTTGGTGCATTTCAGCGCCATTTTTAACAAGGGACTTGTAGAAAGAGGCTAGATATATTCCACAAGTCATGTTAAACGGTGCAGACGTCATATTCTTATTTGGAGAACATGCGCCGTAAATACTATCGGTATAGAGTGGAATAACCAGACGCTAGAGATTGCCATTGGATTGAGACTTCTGGCGTATTTCGCCGAATATAGCTGATCAGAAATTGCAGTAAAAACAGAAACGATTGAATGTAAATCAATTTATATAAATTCACATTACATTATTATATACGTTGCGACCCATTTATGTCAATTTCTAGATCCAAAATATTAGCGATTTAGCTCCTTTAAAGCGAGAATTTCATATTTTCTAAGAAAGTCAAAACAAAATTATTTCTATGTCTTTTGCTCAATAGGTTATCAACTCACTATTATACGACCATGGGCATTATTTCCTACCCTTAAAAACCATTACACAGGAAAAAATAACACAATTACCTCCCTTGTTTTCCTATTGCCTCCATGCATTAGCTACCTTCAAACGTTGGATTTTGAAGTTGAAAATGATATTTTTGCCAATTTCTCAGCAGGCAATAGTGAATTATAGGATTAATAGGATTATTCTTTAACAAGGTAGAACGGTTTATGGTTACCATCTATTTTAAGGCTTTATTTTAATAAATTTTAAAAATATAACTTAAAAATATGAAATTGCAGCTTCCACCAAGGTGACATCGCAGACAAGTTGACGCGCGTGTGTGTGTAATAGTTTTATTTAACGTCTGCTTCCACCGAGGTGATATCGCATACAGGCAATCCTTTTTATGTGTGGCCAATAGCGTGACCCTCCACTCTGTGTTTTCGAAAGCTCCGCCCACGTATGTAAGCTCATCCAATAACATCCATCGACACAGAATATGAACGCCCGATCTCGCATTATAGATATCATATGAATTTGAACTTCGCCAAGGGGTTTATTACAAATATTATGTTACGTCCCTGTTTGTATATATTCACGCCGAGGAATAGAATATAACAAACAGTCGCTTGTCCAGTGTTGCTTAATAAAATTGGATAAAATCAGGGTACTAACTATTGGCCCTGATTAAAAACAATTAAGTTAAAATATATTATGTTTTTCAATATGAATAAAATTCATCTTCGCATCCACTGAAAAATATAATGGCCTAAATCCGCGGAGGAAAATGATCTAGAAGTGATATGCGGGAAAGGTGAAAAAAGTTAGTTTCCTTTTCTCGTCATGTCACGTATTCTTCACTGCAAAGACATCAGCTGGTCGAAGGGCTACCAAGTCTGTCCCTGAATTTAAACATGATAGGATAGGTTATAGTCTTGACATGTTACACTCTTGACCCTGTTTCTCGAAATCTTAACTAAAGATAAAATCCAAATTTTAGTAGATACTTCAATTTTGATTGGCAAGGCACTAAAATCAATCTAATATTATCCAATCAAATTACTAAAAGTTTATCTTAGTTAAAATTTCGTGAAACAGGCCCCTGTTTTGCCCAATTGCAAGTTGGCTACAATAAACATCCGGATTACACCTCTCAGTTCTGCTTTATATATATCTTGCAGTGGTGCGGGCCCGTAGCCAGCTGTTAAAATTTGGTGGGGCTACGGAATTTTTTTTGGGAGGGGGCTGAGGATGTGGCCGGCTAAGAACGCTCCTAAGAAATCATTATTGTTGGCGAAATATTGGGGGGGGGGGGCTCATTGGATTTTTTTTTTTTTGGGGGGGGGGGGGGTGGCTACGGGCCCGAGTGGAAATAGTGGAGATAAGCGAGTAAGACGCCGACTCGCTAGTCTGGAGGTCGCGGGTTCGCTCCCGTTGTTGGCCGAGAAGGTTCCTCGGGATTTTCCGGCGTGGCCTCCCCTTGTCAGTGGTGCAGGACAGAGAGCATGACAAAGACAGCTGTCTAGCCGTTCGGATGGGACGAAAAACCGAGATCCCGTGTACACATTGGCATGCACGCAACAGATGCCCTGGCAGTTAGAATCCGATATAAGAGTAGGCCGTAGCGCCGCTGTCCGGGCAAAATGTCTCTCATAGCACACTACATGGCATATGCCCGTCTTCATTAGCACAGTCGGGGCAGAACAGTAGGAAGTTAAACCCCATTTCATTTCATTTCATATATCTTGCAGTGTTATTTGGAAGTAAACGTCTGGACTATTCAGTCAGTTTTCAAGCTTATCTTCATCAAATTGAGTTATTTACCCCTTGTTTTCCGCATGGTACCGACCAACCCTTTCATTTAAAGAAACGTGAAAAAGAAATAAAATCATTGATTGATAATGTTTTTGTTTATTTCTGAAGTATATTACAACTTATATAATATCAAATATTTATAAATAAATACAACATATATATTTATACAATATATATAACAGATGCATAATAAATGTATAAAAAATGTAAAAGATTTTTTTTTTCTTTGTTTTGAAAATAGATATCGAGTTTACATCTTCAAAAGTTAATGTGGGAAAATTCTAAAATATATTCTGTATATAACAATAATAAATGAATAACAAATATAATATTGTATTTAATGAGTTTTTATTTTTTTATTTTTTACTTCTTTTCTCTGAAATGTTTGTGCTTTAAATGAGGTATCTATTTTTCCCGTAACAGTCTTAATCTATACTCTATGAAACGTTATATACAAAATACTACATATGGAGGGCATCACAAATATATTTCAAATTGTGGCTTTATTTTGTTCTTATTCCCTTTTTGAGTTTTTAGAAAAACAATAAACTGTATCTGTAATATTATATTATCCATTCTTCAATTTCGTCAAAATTTAAATGTTTTATTGAATTCTTAGACACACATTGTCATGTCATCTCTTTGAACACAGCATGTGAAGAGTTTCTTTAAGTTTTTAGCCGCTTTTCTTCTCCATCGTCGTAATCCGGATTCTTTTGGTTTTGTTGGTGAGGTATGGGTTAAATCTAAAACTATAAATAAATATAACATTTAATTTTTTATATCAGGAAACAGAAGTAGTTAAACATTAAATGCCTAAAATTGTCCATGAGAAAGCTCAGTGAGAAAG